CATTAACTGTCTATACAGGAAAAAGATCTGAGTCCCTAAAACTAGCTTCAGAGAGAAAAATCCTCACCTAGACACCCTGCTGGAGTCAAAAGCAGGGTCCCCAGAAGAGATTCCTTTATCCAACCAGCTAGACGCTAATGCAAATCAAGCCCGCAGGTTAGTATAGCTACCAAGGCTGTGTTCTCAGCTGCAGGGGAACCTCACAGCCATGCCCCCTCTGAGACATAAGGTGCCTCCTTGCCAGATCCACAGGTTTCTTGTGGCTCTGTGAACATGCATGCTTGATACTATTGTTGCTGCCTATGGTACTGCTAGCTTGTCTGTATGCCCATATAAACTGAAAGTTTTGTGGACATCACCCCCCACCCCCCGTTTTTCTTTTATACCCTTAGCCTTAGGCGCTTATCCCTTACCCTGATGCTTTATGCTTTATGTCCCTGTGCTTCTTCCTTCTTTCATCTTCCCCCCAAGACATAAAGAAACATACAGGGAAAACGTGCCTGAGCCAGTCAGTTTGTTCTACCCCTCAGATCCTGTTCAAGCCAGTTTCCCTCGTCGCAGAAGTCCTGTTCTGACCCCTGGGAGAGGGCTGAGGCGGTGCTCAGTAACTCTCGATACTTGTCTTCCCTCTCTGTTCAGCATTTTTGCATACTTGATCCACTGCTAAGAACGACTGTGGGCAATTCTTCCTCAGCAGCCCGCACGACGCCTTCCAGCACTCTAAAAGTCAGTTAGTTCTCCGGGAGGAAGCTTCTAGCACAGCTTCAGCTGGATGTCTCTGTCCTGTCCGCTGGTGTCTTCAGCAAAAGGGCCTTAGCAGCCGGTTTCAGTGGGTGACCAACAGTGGTGGCAACAGCCTATGTGTTTGGAGGACTTTTCCTCAGAGGCTTCCCTGGCCAACAACTTGTCGGAGGTAGCCCACTTCTGGAACTGGGATTTTCACTTAAGGATCTTACGGGTTCTTGGAAGTCACGCTGTTCATTTATGCTGGGCACCTCAATTTAAACCCTCCGTTTAAAAAGTTTAAGTAGTTTAGCTATTTATTTGTACAAATGTGTGTATGTCATAGGCATGTGTGGGTGTCAGAGGACAACTTGGAAGATGTGTTTTTTTTTTTTCACCACGTGGGTTTTGGGGAATCAAATGCAGGTCATTAGGCTTGGTGACAAATATATTTTACCCATGAAGTCATCTCTCCAGCCCTCCTCCTCTTTCTCCTCCTCCTTCTTCTGTCTTACATTTATTTTTTATTTTGAATGTTATAGCTAAAATTTTAGCTTTTTATTTTGTTTGACAGGGTTTCTCTGTGCAGCAGAACTAGCTGTACTGAAACTTACTGTGTAGACCAGGCTGGCCCCGAACTCACAGAGATCCACCTGTCCCTGCCTTCTCAGTGCTGGGACTAAAGGTGTGCGCCACCACCACTCGGCTTTAGCTCCTTAGTTCTTATGTGGGTCTCCTTTGGTTGGATCTAGAAACCCAGTAAAGACAAGAACTAATTTGTTTACTTTTTGAGACAGGGTCTCACTATGTAGTCCTAACTGGCCTAGAACTCATTATGTAGACCAGGCTGGCCTAGAATTCACAGAGATCCTTTTGCCTCTGCCTTCTAAGTGCTGGGATTTTTTCCCTAAAGACAGGGTCTCACTTTGTAGCCTTGGCTGACCTAGCATTACCACACCTGAATTGATTTTATTTATTTATTTTTTTTGAGACAAAGCCTTAAGCTCAGGCTAGCTTAGAATTTGCTACGAGCCCATGGTTCCCCTGCCTCCACTTCAAGTGGATAACAGAATAAGACAGTCATCTTTCTTGATATCAGAGTTGATTAGCAAGAGAGCTCTCCCTCAAATCAACAGAAGGATTTAATATCCTAGACCACATCCCTGATTGTTCAGGGTCTTGCTTCTGGCGATGGGTAACTCAGATCTCACTAGATTGCTACACTGTTCCTTTGGCAGAAACACAGATGCCAAAACTTTCTGATGCCCTTGTTTTAACTGCTGTGGCTTATTGGATTAAAACTTTTGACTGTGAAACAAGTTAAGTATCAGTTTTTAAGGATTAATTTCTTCACGAGAGACAGAACAAGCAACACCTATCCTCATATGATCCTTGTGGATGTACTTTTCACCTGTAAAATTTCAGATTTCAATCGAGACAATTCAGAGGCCCCTTCTCTGGATAACTATGTTGACAGGAAAGTAAGGATGTGTGGAGCTCAGCTTGCATCCCTGGTCATGTTCTACGCTGGAGCACAGACGGGTCATACAAACGCAGCAGCCAGTTCCTGTCTATTTCTCTATCACATGTCAACCTGGAGCCATGTCTTTTTCTTTCCAGGGAGACTCAGCTCTCCCTCATTGGACAGAAGTTCCTCTGAGGCCCACCATAACTGTGAGTCCTTTCAGAGAGGTGCTGCCATTTTCTGGACAATCAACAGTCTTCGTTCTCAAAGTGGATGCAGCAGAGATTTTAAAATTTACATTAAGGCTAGTGTGTGTGTGTGTGTGTGTGTGTGTGTGTGTGTGTGTGTGTGTAAAGGTGAGAACCTGAGTCTGGGTAGAAGGCCAGAAGAGAGAGGGCTTAGAGTTACAGGTAGTTGTGAGCTACCTGGTTGGGAACTGAACTCAGACTTTCTGGAAGAGCAGCAAGTGATCTTAAGCACTGATCTCTTCTGTGATCTTTTATTTTATTATATTTTCCCTAAAGACAGAGTCTTACTATGTAGACCTGGTTGGCTTGGAACTCTCTCTATGTAGACCAGGTTGGCCCTGAACTCACAGTGACCTGCCTGTCTCTACCTCTGAGTACTGGGTATTGCACCAACAAACCCAGAAAGAAAAAAAGAGTTTTTAAAAATTAATTTTAAAAGTATAGGGAGATCTCACAGCAAGATCCAAGGAAGTGGCCAAATACGATGCCTTTATACTTTTAAAATAAAGGATTACGCTGGGTGGTCGTGGCACATGCCTTTAATCCCAGCAGTTGGGAGGCAGATGTGAGTTTGAGGCCAGCCTGGTCTACAGAGCTAGTTCCAGGACAGTCAAGGCTATACAGAGAGAAATACTGTCTCCCCGCCCCCAAAACAAAACAAAACAAAACAAACAAACAAAAACAAAGAATTATATCTGACCTTGGAGTAAATTCTGTGGGTGTTTCCAGTAAATCCACAGGACAAGAGGGTGTTAAAGCTGGTGGAAAGGAAGTATAATTTCAAAGCATTTGTTTATTTGGTTCCAGAGAGGCCCCAGTTTTCAGACTCTGATGACCAAAGCCATTTTTCATCAGGGAATGAGAGGGACTTTCCTCTCAAAAGAATATGGCTTACTGAGTGCAAGAAAAGACAGGGCAAAGGGTCCTGTAGCTATCGTTTCTAATTGATTTCAGCTGGAAACAATCAAGATATCCACTTGGCAATTTTGGAGCTACCACATCTTTAATTCCGTGTCCTGGATAGTTTTATATCAAGTTGACACAGGCTAGAGTCATATGAAAGGAGGGAACCTAAATTGAGAAAATGCTTCCGTAAGACCTGGCTTTAGGGCATTTTCTTAATTAGTGGCGGATGCGGAAGGGTCCAGTCCACTGTGGTTCCGTTCCTGGGCTGGTGGTCCTGGGTTCTATAGGAAAGCAGGCTGAGCAAGCCATGATGAGCAAGCCAGTAAGTAGCTCCCCTCCATGGCCTTGGCTCCCGCCTCCAGGTTCCCGCCCTGCTTGAGTTCCTGTCCTGACTTCCTTTGGTAATGAACAGGGCTGTGGAAGCAGAAGTCAAATAAACCCTTTGCTCCCCAGGTTACTTTTGGCCACGGTGTTTCATCACACCAGTGATAATCCTAACTCGGACAGGGGAAGGAACTTCTTAAAAATCTTTGGAATCGATCCCTCCACAACCTACTGCCATTGCTCCAAATGGGTCTTCTCCAGTAGAAGCTTCTGAATTGTTCTCTTTGCCTGCTGTCACGAACTGTGCTATCCCACGGACTTCTTTCCAACTGTGTCTGAGTAAATCTGTTGCAATATAATCCTCAAACCCACAGACTTCTTCCTGCTGTACTTTTTACCGCATTCCCTGGTACCCTAAGATGCAGACCTGTCTTGCCACTCGATCACACCTTTAGCTGTTAACACACATCTATAGCTGAGACTGGTACGCGTTATCCTTTAAACAGTCAGACATTCCTCTAGAAAACCTTTTCTCCTATCTCCCCTTGGCAAGCATTTTTTAAGAAGAATGTTTATTAATTATTTGAAAATTTTATGCAATTGTTTTGATCAGATTCACCCCTTCCATCCCTAGATCCACCCCCACCTCTCTATCTCCTCAAGTTTATTGCCCTTTTAAAAGTTATTATTAGTAAGCCATTGGATCCAATTTGTGTTGCCTCTGAGTGTGGTGCCATCCACTGTCCGTAGTACTGCAGTCCCGGGTAGGTAGGGGGTCATGAATCCCTTCCTTCCGTGCTAGAAGTGCTAGAATGTTTACTGACTTGATGTTGTGCAGGCAATCACAGCCCCTGTGAGCTGATCCTTTCTTTTGCTTGCAATTTATTTATACACTTATGTCTGTTGTCCTTAAACGATGTACCTTCTTGAAGACTTTGTTTTTGGGCAACCATTTAATCAGGGTTCACTGTATGTCAGGCCCTGAATGAGGTAAGAGCTTCTCCCAGAGTTCATTGCTTTTGCCCAGCTTCTGGCACATGCTTGCTGGATGAACAACACAGTGCATTATATAGCACAAAGCACCCCAAGTTGCATGAGCACATGACTAACTCGAGGGAACTTGTCAACACGCGGATGTCAGAGCTCCACCCTGAAGCTCTTGAGTCAGAAGCTTGTGGGGAAAATGTGGGCACCCAGGTGTTTAGTGAGCTTCCAAATGCTTCAGATGTGCCCCAGTTTGTGAATGTTGGGAAGTCATGCCTGCGCACTAGGAAAGGCCATCCTCAGCTCATTCCAGGCAGGCAGAAGCCCACCCTGAGTTCCAGCTCCCTTACAAGAAGAAAAGTACAAAGTGTAAAAGACCAAGTTTGAGGAATTTTGTATTTCAATGCCTATGTGCTGCTTTCATTTAGTTCCTTTAAGAGCTGTGCAAGGAAACTATTTACCTCCCCACTTAAAAAAAAAACAAAACAAAAAAAACCCAAAAAAAAACCGAGGCCAGAGTCAGTCACTTGTCCAGGAAGAATGGCTGGTGCTAGAAATCGAAGCAGGAACTTCCGGCCTCTGACGCTGTCCCCGTGACACCTGGCTGCCGTCCCACACCTGCCGTAGCGAATGCCTCTCTTACGTGTGTCTGGTTTCCCACTGTCCTCAGGGACCCACGGCGTACCGCTGCTGGTCTTGGTGGGGTTTCTACAGGCCTAGGAAAAATGGGGAAAGATAAGATAGACACTATTCTCATCACCGTGCCTCAGAAAATGGAGAATGTCATGGATTTTCTGCTGATGGCCAGAAAGGATACCAAATCAGTCAAAGAACAAGGGTAGTGTGAGATTCAAAGTTCAGTGCACCCGAAACCTTTATGTTCTGGTTACCACTGACAAGGAGAAGGCAGAGATACTGTAGCAGTCCCTTTGGCAGTGAAGGGACCGAAATGAACCAATCCTCCTTATTTGAAATGTATTAAAAATCTTGAAAAGTCAAAAGAAAGAAAAGGAGGGGAGGTTTAAACAAAGCCTTCTGAAACAAGCTTCATTGCCAGGTGGTGGTGGCGCACACCCTTAGTCCCAGCACTAGGGAGGCAGAGGTAGGTAGATTTCTGTGAGTTCGAGGCCAGCCTTGTCTGTAAGAGCTAGTTCCAGAGTTCCAGGACAGCTAAAACTGTCACACAGAGAAACCCTGTCTCGGGAGGGGGGGGGGAACGGACTCCAAAATAAGCTTCATTGTAAAATGTTTAAAAAAGGGGCTAAATGTTCAGTTCTGGAAGATAGAGGGACATGGAGACAGAGCTGAAGCCACCACCTTAATTAACCCCTACCCTCTTCAGTTAGAGCCAAGGGGGTGTATGGTGAGAACTTCAGCACTTCCTCCTTTGGAGTTTCAACCCTATTGTAACACACGAATCTGACATGCTTCCAAGGTCTGTACTCCTCCGGATGGGAGACAGGAAGCTGGGCTGGAATAGGAAAGGGTTTGGGGAGGGCTGGGATAACATAAACAATTCCCTGACCTTTGCACAGCCCTGCCCCACCTCCTCCCAACCCCAGCCTCACTGTCTCTGTCCACTGTTCTGATCAGATCTGTGGAGAGAGAAGTGTCAGCCTCCCCAGCTGGACTGGGGGCGCCACGGCGACAGGGAAGCTCTGTTGTGTTCGTGTCAGCATCTAGAGGCAACCTGTTTTGGTGTAAGTGCTCAGCGAGTGCCATTTGTAGGCCTGACTGAAGAAGGAGCAGCCACATTGGAACAAGGATAGCTAGAGAAGTGGTCTGTGCAGGGGGAGAGTGTGTGGGCAGTCTGTTCTTCCCTATTGTCCCAAATAATTCAGAGTCCCAGGTCTTAAGGAGTGGGATCTCCTGTTTCCCCCCTAAGGCAATCTTCTTATTCAACCCCTGAGACACTGCCTTCTTCCTCCTAGCTTTCCAGCACTGGGGTGGGAGAACCCTAAAGTAAGCCCCAGACACTGAAGGATCTAATGGGGTGCGTGAGATTGAGGGGGCTGGGATGACAAAAGCACTCGAGGGCTGCTGAGAAGGCTCGGGGGTAAAGCGGCTTGCTGCTGAGCCTGAAGAGCTGTGTTCAAAGCCCAGGATCCACATGATGGAAGCAGAGAGGAAGGGAGGAAAGAATTGACTTTTAGAACTTGTTCTCTAACCTCTACATGTGTGTTATGACACACCACACACACACACACACACACACACACACACACACACGAGAGAGAGAAAGAGAGAGAGAGAGAGAGAGAGAGAGAGAGAGAGAGAGAGAGAGAGAACAGTTTTCAGAGACCCTGGAATTCTGGAAGTTTCGGTGCTGGTGTTAATCCCACATAATCGTCTGGAAGAGAGGGATTCCCCCTGGGGAACATTCCCAGAAGACCCTTCAGCTGATAAATTCTAGTTATAAAAATTCACTTGGATTTTAAGGCCCAATGATGCCCTTGTCAATGAACTCCTCTGAAAGCTGGATATGGAACATGTGTTAACAAACTTCCTTTCAGAAAAAAAAAAGAGAGAGATCAATAGATTTGACAAAGGCACGCAGAAAATGAAGAGCCAAGCCCAGAGTCCAATCACAGAGCCCAGAACATCTTTGTTGAGACCACCCTTGATTCCACATATTAATTTATAACGGTATCAAAATTCAGCCCTCCAGGAGGGTCCAGAAAGGAGTTCTGATAGATTCTTTGGTCCCAAACCATGGATTACATTGTGAACTCCAGGGTTCACCTCCCTGCCTCCATGACACAGGCATTCTGGAATGGATGCTCTCAGATGATTTGATATTCCTAGGTCAGCTCCTGGAAGCAGAGAGGGAAGGAATGTGTGTGCGTGCGTGTGTGCGTGTGTGTGTGTGTGTGTGTGCATGCAAAGTCTCACACAGACCTTGGGGCATGGAACATAATTTGGAATGGGGATGGGTAGTGGTTCACTTCTTTGAAGCTTCTGCTACTGCAAAGGAGAAGTAAAGCCATCATCCGTCACCTTTTCTGGATGGAGTTAACCAAGTCACAGTCCCATGTTATCTCTGGGTGGCATAGCATCTGGGTGTGCCTGTCTCTTTCCTTGTGAGTGCACTTGTATCTGAGCATAGCAGAGCTTACCGGCCACATGTTTACCTGTGTTTGTCTCTTTACAGGTTTTCTTTTGTATGCCATTCCCCTAAATATCATAGTTCCTCAGAGCTTGGCTTGGTGCTTCTTTTCTGCTCTATCAAGACTCTCCACGGGCTAGTCACATTCAGCTCGCTGTCAGTACGGCTATTACTTACGCACTTGATCCCAGTCCAAAGCCCAGGAAACCACTGGCTGTGACTTGCAAGTCTTTACTCGAAGGTCTTTACTTCTGGTCTGTGCTCTAGATCGGTGTCTAGTGCCTTCCAAACACCCCCTCCACCCCCCCCTCCGTTTGGCTGGCACACATTTATCTCTCTTAAAAAAAAAACAAACCTATCACTTGGGTCAGGCATGATGGTACCTGCCTTTAATCCCAGCACTGGGGAAGCAGAGGCAAGTGGATCTTTGGAAGCCAGTCTAGTCAATATAGTGAGTTACAACACAGTGAGGCCCTGTCTCAAAAACAAACAAGCACATAATCAAACCACCCCGACAACCTGACCAACCCGGTCTCACATACTTGTATCATAGTTTCATGTCACATCCTGGTGACACTTCTGATATTTCTTCCCCAGATCTTCAGGTTAAGTGGGAGGGTAACAGGAGCGAAGCCGAAGATTCTATTTTGGTTTGTTTGCTTTTCTGAGACAGGCTTTCTTTCTGTAGCCTTCCTGCATTGTTGGAACTCACTGTGTAGACCAGGCAGGCCTCGAACTCATAGAGATCCACCCACCTGTCTCTGCCTCCTGAGTGCTGGGATTAAAGGTATGTGCCACCACCGCCTGACTGGGGTGAAGATCTTAAAGCTGGTTAGGTGTGCTCTGGGGAGTCTGGACCAGACTTAGAGAGCCAGGACTAACCAGAGAAGTTAATAGCAGAAAACAATTGTCATCGACTGGCCTAAGTCCAAACTCCCTAGTAGAACCTTAAAGATCCTCCCTGACTTGGCTCCTCTTATTTCTTCCCCAGTTTCCCTAGTTCACAGCATCATTCTCCCTCTCCCAGGCTACAGGTTTGTCCCCGATTCCATGGGTCTCTCGTGCTGTTCTGTGCATATCTGACTCCATCTTCCTGGAGGGTTGTACTCATTGGTGCTTGCTCAATGAAGGCTAACTTATTCTTCTAGATTAAGCCCCATCTTCCTCTACCACGACAGGTACAATGAATCACTCTGATGTCTTCAGTTGTCACATACATTCATACTTTAATTATTGTCATCATTTTTTTTTCCTTGAGACTGTGCTGACCATACTGGTCTTGACTCTGAGGGTTCAAGGCACCCTTCCACATCAGCTTCCTGAGCATCTGGGACTACAGGTATGTGACACCACACCCGGCTTCATAGCGCAATTACTGTGGTTGCTCCACCACCTGTTTGTTTGACTCGTCCGCTCGCAGTCAGCTGTGCACTCCATGAGCTCACAGGCTGTTTTCGACTCAATGTTTCTCACTCTGGCATCTAACACGAGAGCCGGCACATATGCAGGCACACTTTATATATTTCTCAGTGGAACGAATCAGTGCATGAAATGAAAATTGAATAAAAAATATATTACCCATATGAACAAAATTAGGATACATCGTCTCTTTGAGGGAAAGCACGCTTTTCAGGGTCTGCATCAGTGACGGCCCAATATCTAGAGGATTGAACTGAAGAGAATCGTTCCCTACCTGTAGAGGCGTGGGTAGATCTGCCAAACTGTTGATAATTCTTAAGTTCCCTTTTCCTTCTTGGAGTTGCAGAATTCCCAATAAAATTGAATGCCCACTGAACAGGGAAGGAAATTTTTGGCAAAGACTAGGAGTGGGAGCTAAATTTGCACAGTTGCTGCTCCAGTGTCTAGGGTCAGGAAGTTATAGCTGGGGTAAAGAAACACGGGAGAGGTAAGGTAATGAAGGATGGAAAGAGCCCTATCTTTCCTGTGCTTGCTAAAGACTTTACAGGAATCCAAATGCCCCTATTTTTCTTCCTTCTATGGTTCTTTCTGCTCACCTGTCACGGTGCTGAGAGGTGTCATTTAGCACACAGCCACAGGATCTTAAGGAAGTCAGAAGTCATGGGCAGTCACTCTAGTATCCATCTTAGGTCAGACCGGTTTAATTAACCACCTGAAGAGGGACTTCTGGCCATCGGGCATTTTGTCTTCAAAGATAAGATTAGGGCAGGGCAGAAATTCAGTTAGTTCAAGCAGGCAGAGAAAGATGAGGATTAGGTAACAAAACCAGTCATTGGTCCAGAGGCACACTGCCAAAGCCTGAGGTTTGAGGACGACAGCCCGAGTTAGCCAGGGAGGAGCACGTCCTCTAGAAATGCGGATTCTCAGCCTGGTCCAATGGACCTTGTTCATGTATTCCTCCCACTCCGATAGGCCTCTGACGGCTGAACTTAACTAGAAGGGGTGTTTCTGGCCAGCACTATGCTTAAGTCTAAGGCTTGGACTCCCAGGGCAGAGAGAAGGACCAAGAACGGATCTGGGCAGCAGGTCTCTGTGAATTCAAGTCCAGCCTTGCCTACAGAGTTCCAGGTCAGCCAGAGCTATACAGTGCAACTCTTCTCAAAACAAAACAGCAATAACAATAGGAGCTCTAAATGATAGGAGGATAGATTGAGAAACAGCGTGGAGGAACGATGCCATGGTTCTGCGGGCAACTATTTATGAAGTTACTTTGCCCACTGGTAGTACTATTCTGTGAGTGACATTTCTAGGCTTTATGCTTTTCTGTATATTTAGGTATTTTTAATATGAAGCTTATGAAAACTGGTGAATTAGCAGGGCCAAGGTAGGGAAATGACATGTTTTTAAAAACACTTCTCAAGTAATTCTGGTTGGCCCCAGGTTTTGCGAACCACTAATAAAGTTTACATTCTCGGGGGCTGGAGAGATGGCTCATGGGTAGCAGCAGTACATACTGTTCTTGCAGAGGACCCGAGTTCTGTTCCAGGCATTCCAGGCAACTCACAGATGCCCATAATACCCCCTCCAGGGAGTTCTGACAACTCTGACCTCAACTGCACTCACTCCATCCCACCCCCCGGGGAGAAATCCTTTTAAAAGTTTACACTTTCATTTTTAGAATTTGGCAAACTGGGGTCCAGAGAAACAAAAACACTTTGACTTGACAATTCCCCTATGTGACAGGGACGGTTTGGCCTGAAACTGAAAGGTATGTCATGATTTTATAACTTGTTCATGGGGAACGGAGGCTCCAAGGGCAGAGTGGCGTGTGACCAGTTACAACCCCAGTGAGCCCCAGGAAAGGGGGGGCATAGGGAGGCATTGTCCATGTTGCTTTCAGTTTGGAGCTCTTCCCCAGCAACACACACTTCCCCAGCAACATATGGTGCATATGAAAGCCACGGGGACAGCTGTTCTCTTCTCTCACTCTGAAAGGTAGGTGGTCTCCTCAAAGCTCCTAACTGGAAAAAACCAGACCATGAATTAGCCTAGAGATCAGGTGAGCGACTCCCCTTTCCCAAACCTTGTCTGTCATCCTTCATGGACCCTATCTGAAATTTCAGGTCACAATTTCAGGTTAACAATGTCACAAAAAGAGGGCTGTCTAGTTCCAGGACAGGCTCCAAAGCTACAGAGAAACCCAGTCTCAAAAAAACAAAACAAAAAAAAGAGGACTGTCCTCCTCTGAGGGGGTTAGGTCAGTAGTTCGGGGCTTAGGGATAGCTGGGGAACGGTTGGAGGGGAAACAAAGAGAATGACTGTGGGTAGGGATAACTCGAGAGGCATCTTGTGTCTCCTCCAGGACGGCAGGGGCCTGGTAAGCCCATCTCGGGAAGCTGCCAGTGTTCCTCCTCTTCCCAACAGCCAAGGCCACAGTTAAAGCTCTGCGTATATCACAGACCGCATACCTAGCCTGCGGAATTTGGAAAGCTCTATTTCCATGAAATCTCCTAGACAGACTTGTATTTCCCGACACCAGCAATCTTTCCCCTTCCTCATCCTATACAACAGGTCTGGACTGGGCAGGTCTTAGAGGTCACCCACTCATTTTACAGATGAGGAAATTTAGGCTAGAGAGGGCAAAGGCCATGGGATCTCTAGCGCTGCAATCCGTTAGACTCCCTGCCAATCCGTCCAGTTTTGAGCAATACTTCTAAACACGCTCGAGCCCACCAGGATTACTACCGTTTACACTGGACTTCTGGCAATCAGTTCACATTCCTTTGGGTCCTTAAGCACGCTCAGGTTTGCCTGCCATTCCTGCTTTGCTCTTGTCTGTGTCACTGTTGTTCCGGCTGTGAGGGGTGTGTGACCAAGGCAATCTAGTACCTGTTGCCTTTATGGGGCCCACACACAGGCCGCTGCTTTCTTTCATCCGCGGCTTTAATAGTAGGTGAAGAATGGTGGTCAACCCCACAGTTGACGTCCGTAGCAGCACTGGTTCAGTGCACTTAATGCAACTACGATTCTGTATAGTTTATGTACATTGTGTTCCGGAATGAGTATCTCTTCCCATGCTGAAAGTTGAGTGTCTCCTGACTCTCCCGTGACCACTGGGATCTGTGACTACACTATTAAAGCCGTGTCTTATTGGAATTGCGTCCGCCTAGACTGCCTGTTTAAAGGCTGACGAGAATCTGTCTTTGCTTTTTGTTCCGGAGTTAAGAGAGGATGCATCTCGCGGTGCTCCCAGGGCAGTGATGTGCTTGTTTCGTTAGCCACGCTGGCTCCTTAGCCGTGGGGGTCGCGGTCACGTTCCGGGATGCCCTGGCACGCCTCCCAAAAGGGCGTGGCCTTGGGGCCCCGCCCACGCCCGGGGGTGGGAGGACCTCCTTTTCAGCGCCGAAACAGAGGGAGCCCAGCGGGCGCCGCCAGACGGACTCCGCCCATCCGAGGTTCCGGCGCGCTCATTGGCTGGAAATGTGGTGACGTCGTACGGTTTACAGACAGTACTCCGAGCGCCCGGCGCGCGGGAGGTATTGTACTTCACCCGGCTTTGTTCCTTCGTCTGCTCACCTGGCCCTGGGTGCGTCCCGGCGGTGCATTCCGGAGCGGGTGCCAGCCGCCGGCGCCGCCGCCGCCATGGTGTCCCCGGTC